CGTCGGTTCGGTTACCGACGTAAATTTGAAAATTGTCATTGGTAGGATTTGAACCCGAGTACTTTAGAGTTGGAGGTCGATACTCCAACTACTAAACTACTAGAATTTTCTCGATAATAACTTACAAATAAATTATATTTATATACAAATAAATATATATCCATGTAAATATATATTTATTTGTATATATTTTCTGGAAAGTATTTTTATTTTTTTTTTCAGCCAAAAATTCTCTTAAGTTAATGAATTGTCACCGATAGCATTTGAACCCAGTATTTTAGGGTTGAAAGTTAATATCCCAACCACTAAACTACTATAATTTTTTTATAATAACTTACAAATAAATTATATTGGTATTTTTTGATCGAGGGTGAAAGTGTGATTGACTCTTGCTTGAGTGAAAATATGTTAAAGCTCACGGAAATTCACTCACTCAAGTCTCGCTTGAGCGAAAATTGGTATTTTTCGCTTGAGAGCAAATAACGCGTTTCCCAAATTTATTTTATATCATTATATAAATAAAATTATAAAAATTATATTCTGTCATTAAATTACAAACTCATATAAAGATAGTCTGCTCACAAATTTAGCATCAAATTTTGAAAACCCACTTGACACACACTTTCACCTTCGAGTGTGCCCTCACATCTAACATATAAATATATAAATATATCAAAATATATAAATATATTTGTATTTATATATTTATATATTTACACGGATATATATTTATTTGTATATAAATATAATTTATTTGTAAGTTATTATCAAAAAATTCTAGTAGTTTAGTGGTTGGAGTATCGACCTCCAACTCTAAAGTACTCGGGTTCAAATCCTCGCAATGACAATTCTCTTAATAAATTAATAAACTTCTAAAAAATATATTATAAAGAGATGGAGGACCTAATAAAAATATAATATAAAGAGATGGGAGACTTCTAGATAAATAAAAGGGGTAAAAGGGTTATAAATGAATAAAAATTATTAATTTAAAAAATCATACTTTCAACGTCGGTTACCGACGTTGAAAGTTACGACTTTCAATGTCGCCTGATACAACGTCGGTTCAACAACCGACGTTGAAAGCTTTATTTGTAGTAGTGGAATAATGTATGAGAATTAATTCCAAAGCCAAATGATGCAAATATTGTTGAAACTAAATGGGTTTTTAGGAATAAATTAGATGAAAATGGTATTATTACAAGAAACAAAGCAAGATTAGTTGCTAAAGGATACAATCAACAAGAATGAATTGATTTTGATGAAACATATGATCTTGTTGCTAGATTAGAAGTTGTTAGGCTTTTACTTGCTTATGCTTCAATGAAGAATTTCAGGTTATACCAAATGGATGTCAAAAGCGTCTTCTTAAATGGCTATTTGAATGAAGAGGTTTATGTTGCTCAGCCCCCTGGATTTGAAGATCATATTCATCCAAAATTTGTCTATAAACTAAAGAAAGCACTATATGGTCTAGGTCTTACAAAAGTAAAAGATACATTAAATGAACTCGATAAGCTGATGTATCTAGCATCAATAACTTCATATGATGCATAGAATATGTGCATGCACATGCTGAGCGATAACATTGTTGTCTGCGTCATTATGAAGTTGTTGGAAGGTTGTATTCAACAAATAAAGTTTAATTTAATTTCCTTTTGTCACTCCTTCATGTGGAATTGACCCTAATAAAGATTCACAAAAAGATAAAAAATCACCACTGTTGGGACCACTAACACACTGTCCATCAATTGGAAGACCAAGTTGTAAAGCAACATCTTCTAGTGTTACAGTTGTTTCGCCAATGGAAGGTAATGTTGTTATTAAATGGTGGTTAACATAAATATTTAAAATTTTCAACAAGGGTTAAAAACTTACTTGTTGTATCAAACTCAATACTCGTCCATCACTTGCTATGGTCTTTGGTGATTGGAAACAGTCATACAACCATCTTCCTAAACGGTTTTAAGTTGTTAAAGATACTCTTCCGGGCACAATTGTCCAATATATGGGTAGTCTTTATTTTATAAATGGAGTGGAAGATCTATCATGTTACATCATTCAGAGAGTCTTTTGGTCCTTCAAACCATATATTGAAGGATTTAACTATTGTAAAGTTGTCATTCAAGTTGATGGGACATTCTTAATTGGAAGATATCACGAAAATTTATTAACAGCTATTACACAAGATGGAAATAAAAATTTATTTCCATTAGCATTTGCAATAGTTGAAAGGAGACAAAAGACGTTTTGATTTGGTTCTTCCAATTGTTGAAACAATATGTTGCACCTCAACAAAACTTGTGTATCATAATAGATAGAGGTACAACAATATTAATAGAGTTACAATCTTAAGAGGTTGGGTGGGATACAAACCAATCATTATATTGCATTCGACATATAACTTCAAACTTCATAAAAAAATTCAACAATATCCAGTTAAAGAGACAAATAATTAATATGTGTAAATATTTACTATACTTTTTATTTTCTTCATCAATAATTTTTATTTAATAACTTTTTGGGTTATTTTATTTTTTAGCATATGGGATGAAGCAACCAAGACAGACTAAACTATATGCTATGAGATCAAAGTTTTGACAAATTGCTTATTGATTGAATCAAATTTCACTAGAAAAATGGACATAAACATATGATGGAGGAAAAAGATATGGACATATGACCACTGATTTAGTAGAGTGCATGAACTCTATTTTTAAAGGAGTCTGAACCTTGCCAATATATGTCCTGATTAAAACTACCTTTGAAAGAATAAATTCATGATTTGTTGAATGTGGCATGTGGCATGTAGGACACGAGTACCTAGAAGAGATTTCTATTTTCCTCAAAAAAGGCCAACTACGAGCTAACATGTGTCATGTACAAATATATATTAGGGAAAATGGTTTGAAATCCAATAATTGTCAAACCCTCAACATAGTGTACGGACGCAAAGGTATACAACTAAATTGCATGACTGGTGATGTGATTGTGGAGAGTTTTAAGTTCTCCAACTACCTTGCTTCAGTGTTGATCTATTATATAAGTTAGATTGGATTTTCAAAACTTAAGAGCATCAATTTCATCTGGTACAAAATAAAAATTATTAGTCTCCTTATATTGGTCTAAACTTTATTTTTGACTCAACTATGTAGTATGAACAATTAAGAAAACCTACCACGACACACATCCACAACAAAATAAATCAGTCAAATCCAAATAAGTCAAAAAAAATACTCATTTTGTTGTACTCATATTATAAATTGTCCGCATAAACAATGATAATATAATATATTTTACTTTTAATATTAATATATTTTATCTCTTTTAATTATTGTTATAATTTGATTTATTTATTTATTTATAAATTTATAAACTCATAAAAGAATAATTATTATAACATTATAAAAATATATAAAAAGATAAAAATATATAATATTATTCTATAACTAACATAAATAAATAAAAAGTAAAAAATATAAATAATAACAATTTCAATTAAAAAATAAAATAAATTTATTTAATTTGTCCATTCAAACACTATTTTTATTTTAAAAAAATAATTTTTTTATGTAACACAACTTTTTTTTTACTTCGTTCAAAATAGTATTTAGAAAATACAATTTTTTTTCACAATCAATTTATGTCACATAAAACGACTTTTCTATTTTTATAAAATTTTTAAAATTTACGTGAATTTCAATTAAAATTACACCTATGGATGAAAAAAAGTCGAAAATTTTCAACAAATAATGATATTTTATAGAATAAATTACCATACTACTTCTAATGTTTTTTTAAATTATGATTACTCTTCTTTTTATAACGTTACATTCACCTATTGTCAACGAAATATAAATATAATATATTTAGAATTTAATAAAAAATATATAATATCAGATGTAATATAATAACTTTTTAAAAAAATATGATTTGTATAAAATTTTAAAAATTAAAATTTAAAGATATGATGATAACATTACTGAAAAAAGTTAACTATATTTTTATATATTTCATTTATGACGATAAAATATTTTAAAATAATATGTCGTCACATTTAACTTTTTATTTTATTACGCAACTTTTTACTTTATTTAACAATAATTTTCGTTTTCGTTCTCTTACGTCTGTGAATTTCTTAAAAAAAAATTACGACTAATCTTTTCAACTTATATTTTGTCGTTTTATCTTCTTCATATTTATTATATTTAATTTTTAATAAATCTATTTAAATATATATTATAATATTAATACATAATTAATATATTTATTATTTTATTATATAATTAATGTATTTTTTTATTTCATTATATAAAGATAATATCTAACACTAAACAAATATAAATAATTATTTAAAATATTTTTATAAATGTTATAAATAAAATCATTATATTTTTATTTATATTAAATATTTATTATCTGAATTTTAATATTCATTATAATATTAGATAATATTAAAGTGTCTACAATTTTTTTTCTTTTTAACTTTCAACAAAATAGTTTTAATAAATTTTAAAATATTACATAATATTGACTTATCCACATTTCTTCAGAATCTTTGAAAATTATTTATTGCCATAATTTTAAAAAAGTACATAATAATAATATTAAAATTAATTATTCTTTTAATTTAAGTGTTAAAGAATTTATATACATCTTTTTTTTAATTCACCAACGACAATATTATTTACTTTAACCCCATATATTCCTGTTCACATTAACATTGGTTACACTTTGTTATAGAATATTATAGTTTTTCTGCTATTAATGATGGTGACAAATAATTCCTATTAAATTTGAAACAGTTTTTAGATAGAAATATTTTGTGTTTTGTTTTCTAAATATTAAAATTATTTCAAATTAATTTTAATAATATTATAAAAATATATATTTTTTAAAATAAAATAAATTAAAACGGTGTAAAACCCCAACAACCTTTCTCCCCCTCTTCTCCAAATTTGTCAGATCTACCGTTTTTTCCCTCTCGCTACCGTTCTTCGATGGCTTCCACGGTTTTTTCCCCTGCCGCGAGGAGCGAACCGTCGTTGCGGTCGCTGGATCCTTCGCCGTCGTCTTCCCCGGACATCGGTGACCGGAGCGATTCATTCAATTCTTCGCTGAACCTCTTGTCCGACTCTGAAGCTCAGGTACTCCCCTTGCTCTTTTTTGTAATCATCATCGCCTTCGATTACGTGCTTGCTGCATTTGCGATGCAAATTGATGTGTCGTTTTAATCGGGGGTGGAGTTGGGAGGGGGGAGTTGTTCGAAACAGATAGTGAAACGGATGAATTGTGGATTTTGATGCTATAGGATGGCTTTCCTGAAATTTATAATGCACTTAATTGAAACTTAAATAAAGTTTCGATTAGCTGGATTATGGAATAATTTGAGATAGTTCAATTTGTTGTTGGGGCCTCGTTGAAACCTATGAATTGTGCCTTTTGATTTTGTAGGATGCCTTTGCTCCCTGGAATCTTCTAATTTCGTCAAACTTTACTGAAAGTTATATTTCACTTAATTAAAAGTTGATGTGTTGTTTAGCTTGAGTGTGGAATTGTTCCAAATAGGTCAATTTGTTGTCGCGGCTTCAGTGAAACTATGGATTATGGCTTTTGATGTTACAGGATGGCTTTACTTTTCGGAACCTTCTATTATTTGACACATTTAACTGAAATTTATATTCTGGTTTGAACTTCGACATATTACTGATCACTCTATTTTTTTCAGTTCATGAGCCCGGACGTAATGAAGAGTGAAGAGTATCGTCAATTGTTCCATCTTCCACCTGAGGAAGTGAGTGATGCTCCTCCTTTAAGATAGATGGTTGTTGTTTAAGTATATTTTATGGTTTGTTAGCTGGTTTAGTGATCATCATCTTATATTGGAAAAGTTAAAGTAGTAGTTATTTAACTCGGGAAGTGCTTCGGACCCCAGATATACATTTTTGGGTAGATTAAGTTTGGTTTTAATTAACATATTCTCTAAAAATGTGGTGGGGCATGGATAAGTATGCCAGCATTTGAGGATCCCACCTTTGAAAGCTAGATTTTAAAACCGTAAATACTTTACTTGATGGGAGATTTAGGCACTCCATGCCAAAGTCCTTATCATACTTGATAGCTTCTGTGCGGCTGGCTCTCTCCCACAGTTTACTCAATGACATCTCAACTTCCTTGTTGGTCAGTCCTCCAGAGGTAGTCATTTTAGAAATACCAACAACCAGCTCTGTTACCAATTGATTATAACCCAAGCAATAAGCACCAGACACTTGGGGAACTCACCCTTGGGGAATCAAATACTTAAATACTCCACTAAACATCCCAGGCCAGTCAATGTTGGACTTAGGCACTCCATAATATTCAAGTGCATATTGATCATGTTTTATTTTGGGTATCTCAGACCTAGAAATTTTTTTCTTTACACTATTTAAGCATATATAAATCATACAAGTTTAGATGAACCACATTGACCAAGTGAGAGTTAGGAATTTGCTTATTTTTTAGTTTTTGGAGTTCTTGAGAGTTTAATGCGATTTGATTCCCATTGTGTTTTATTGTAATTTGTAACTTAAGACACTCTTTTTCTTATTTTCTTTAGGTCCTTATTGAAGATTTTAATTGTGCTATCCAGGAAAACTTACTTGTTCAGGTAATGTTTTGCTCACAACTTATTGCTATTAACTCAAATACTATGCATTATTTTTTCAATTTGAAGAATACTACTGTATTTTTTCTTTGGTTGCAAATAAGTTGCAATGCACATATGATTTGAACAAATAGCATTTTCATTTATTTTCCTAATGATTTTTCAATGGCTTGTTGTAGGGTCATATGTATCTCTTTGTCAACTTCATTTGTTTCTACTCAAACATATTTGGATATGAAACAAAGGTAAAGTGCTCAATGCAATTATCCATTCATTTAAACTCTTCATGGAGGAAATAAATTTATATTTACCCGTAATATATCTTTATAAGATTAAGTTATGTATCTAGGTTATTCAATGTATTATGTACATACTTAATCTACTATGTTGACCATCTGCCAGTCGTATTATATATATATATATATATATATATATATATATATATATATATTGTATTTACTTCCCTAAGTAATTTGTGTTTGTGGTGTTGGTCTTTGTAATTTTCTTTCATAGGAAGGGTGCCTAAAACACTTGACTTGCTTGAATTGTTATATGTTTAAGTATGCTGACCTAAGTGGCATCTGCATTTGAATTGTTTGGCAGAATTTAGTTTGCTTCTTTTGAAGTTATTTTGACAGTTGTTCACTTTCTACTTCTCATATATTTATTGCATTAAAAAATACATACATGTATTACATTAGCTAAATAACTAATACATCACATACATACATTCATACCAAAATACATAATCATCAACATTCAGAAAACAAATTGACTACCCACTTTTATGCCTGTGGTATAATTGGTTATCTGAAGGGTTGGATTTTTAGTAGATGCAATTGAATATGAATTTTAAAGTGTCTCATTTAATGATTTTTGTAATTATGATGGTTTTTAGATAGTATTTTTGTTTTAATTTCATTTTTTCTGCTTGTTGGAAATGCCAATGATTTATGTTTCAGAAAGTAATCCCATTCCCTGAAGTCACTAGTGTAAGGAGGGCAAAGACAGCTGGGATCTTTCCCACTGCCATTGAGATTCATGCTGGAAACAGGAAGGTGTGTTGGACATGGAGTAACATTTATGCCAGTAGTATTTCAATGAATTTATGTCCTGAATATATCTGTATTCTCTGTTTATTTTGCTTCAATGTCTAAATCCACTTATTTATTATTACAATTATTATTGGTTAGTGGTTAGTGGTTGGTGGTTGGTAGTTGGTAGTTGTTGTTTTAAATGCTGTAATCCTATATATATATGAGATCATAGAGTGGAGGTGTGCATCCCCACTGAATATAAATCTTCTTTTAACTCTCTTTACTCTCTTAACTTGGTATCAGAGCAGGTTGGTCCTGCTCTGCCTTTCCGATCGCCGTCTGACCACTGTCTGGTCACTGTCCGGCCACCGTCTGGTCGTCGTCCGGCCACCGTCCAGCCACTATTCGGCCACCGTCCGATCACTTTTTCGGCCACTTTTCCAACCACTTTTCCGGCAACTTTTCTAGCAACCGTCAACCCCCCGTCCAGTCACGTTTTTGCTGCCATCCGACGACTTTCCGACCACCTTCCAGTGACCTTCCGTCCTCCGTTCCGCTACAGTTGTCTGCTGCCATTCGTCAGTTTTCTTGCAAAATGAAAATTGATACTTCCCTCTCTATCTAATTCTATCTTGGGTGTTCTCCTTCTTACAGGTTCTATTGTATCTATCTTACATCTACATTATTTAAAACATGTCGTCAGGGCCCACAACCTCCTCTTCTGAAACTCCCACTATAACGGCTGAGAAATTAAATGAAAAAAATTACATGTCTTTGTTCTCTTCAGTAGAACTTTGGTTCCTTGGACAAGGGTTTCACGATCATCTAGAAGAAGACGGAAGTAAGATACCAAAATATCAAGTTCAACAATGGAAAAAACTTGATTATCAACTCTGTGCTTTATTGTGGCAATCAATAGAACCAAATATTTTGAATACTCTCAGATCCTTCAAAACATGTAACTCTTTCTGGAAAAAGGCTCAGAATATTTTCGCAAATGATATCCAATGCTTCTATGATTCCGCTAATCGATTAGCCTCTCTCAAGCAAGCGGATAAAGATATGATGACCTTTATTGCCGAAGTTCAATCAGTAGTTGAAAAATTAAAGATGTTCCTAGAGGTGGATTCGTTAGAGGAGATAAAGCAAAAGTTGGATAAATTCTATATGATTATGACTCTCTGGGCTATGAATTCAGAATTTGATCATGTTAAAGATCAAATTTTAACTGGACAAGAAGTTCCTTCTATGGAAAGTTTGACTATAAGACTGCTTCGAGTTCCAACTCTCAAAGGAAAAAATAATCAAGAACTTGTTAAATTTTTTGCTATGATTTCTACTCGTGGAAGAGGAAGTCGCGGCACTAGAGGAGGACGTGGAGGTAGAGGACATTCTCAGTGCACTTATTGTAAGAGAATGGGTCATACCCTAGAAAATTGCTACTCTTTGAATGGTTTTCCTGCCAAAATTGTCAATTTTTCCAAATCTGAAATGGTTGAACCCAAGTTCTCTCACAAAGAATATCAAGAATATTTGCGGTTGAAATCCGGTAATCTAGCACAGTTATCAACAACCCCAAATTTATTAACAGCTTGCATTTCACAATCTGTGGAAAGTCAAAATCCATGGATTATTGACTCAGGTGCTTCTGATCACATGTCTGGTAATACCTCTTTGTTTTCTTCTCTCTCATTTCCTAAAACTCCTCATCTCAAAACCTTAGCCAACGGATCTAAAGTAGCCTCTAAAAGAACTGGTCAAGTCTCCATTTCTCCGTCTTTAAACTTAAAATCTGTTCTTTTTGTTCCTTCGTGTCCCTTCAGTCTCATTTCCCTAAGTCAATTAACCAAATTATTGAATTGTTCAGTAACCTTTAATGCCAACTCTTTTGTTATACAAGAATGTGGTGCGGGTCAACAAATTGGTGAAGGACATGAATATGGAGGCTTATATTACCTTGGGACTAAATCATCTGTATCTTGTGTTGCATCCTTGTCTCCAAAACTATTACATGAACATTTAGGGCACCCTCACTTGTCAAGATTAAAAAAAATGGTTCCTGAACTTCAGACTCTTCAAGATTTTGAATGTGAATCATGTCAACTAGGGAAACATACCAGGTCCTCTTTTCCTAAACATTTTGAATCTAGATGTGACTCTATCTTCTCTCTTGTTCATTCTGATATTTGGGATCCTAGTCGAGTCTCATCCTTTGGCTATAGATATTTTGTTACCTTCATTGATGAGTTTTCTAGGTGTACTTGGATTTATCTAATGAAAGATCGTTCTGAATTATTACTTATCTTTAAGTCTTTTCTTAACGAAATCAAAAATCAATTTGGAAAAGTAATCAAAGTTTTACGAAGTGATAATGCCAAAGAATACTTTTTTACTTATTTCTCCACTCTCTTAAGTTCCCAAGGCATTTTACACAAGTCTACTTGTCCTCACACACCATAGCAAAATGGTATAGCAGAACGAAAAAATAGACATTTGGTTGAAACTGCTCGTACCTTATTACTTGGTGCAAACATGCATGTTCATCATTGGGGAGATGCTATTCTTACTGCATATTTTCTCATTAACAGAATGTCATCTTCTTCTCTTGACAATAAAGTTCCACACTCTATTCTATTGCCAAAGGAGCCACTCTTTTATGTTTCTCCTCATGTATTTGGTTGCACATGTTTTGTTCATGATATGTCTCCAAGTTTAGATAAACTATCAGCTAGAGCCATCAAATGTGTCTTCTTGGGATATTCTCGTCTTCAAAAAGGATATCGATGTTATTCTCCTGAAACCAAGATGTACTACATGTCTGCTAATGTCACTTTTTTTGAATCAATCCCTTCTTTCCTTCTTCTATGCAGGATATTAGTTCGGTCCAAAATGTCCTACCTATACCCTTAGTGGAGCCATTTGTACCTCCTCCTCTTGACACCCAAAATTCCACACAAAATACACTGGAATCCTCATCACTGCCTCTTATTACCTATCAACACAGGAGCCAAATGATTAGTCTCATGTCCCAAGATGAGTCTTCCTCAGCATATCCTTCTCAATCATCCCTTGATATCACGATTCCTGATAATGATGACTCAAGTTGGCCTATTGTCATTCGCAAAGGTACTCGCTTTACTCGTAATCCACATCCACATCCTGTTTATAATTTTCTTAGTTACCATAGATTGTTTCCTTCCTATTTTTCTTTTGTCTCTTCTGTATCCACTATTACTATTCCAAAAAATGTGAAAGAGGCACTTGATTATCCTGGATGGCGACAAACCATGATTGATGAAATGCAGGCTCTTGAGCACAATGGTACATGAAACTTAGTTCTTCTTCCACCTGGGAAGAAGACTGTTGGTTGTCGTTGGGTCTATGCCATTAAAGTTGGATCAAAAGATAAAGTTGATCGACTCAAAGCTAGATTAGTAGCAAAAGGCTACACTCAGATCTATGGCCTTGACTACAGTGATACTTTTTCTCCTGTGACCAAAATGATTACTGTTCGACTTTTTTTTGCTATGATAGCTATCTTGCATTGACCTCTTAATCAGTTAGATGTCAAGAATTCTTTCTTGCATGGTGATCTTGAGGAGGAAATTTACATCGTTCTCTCTATGGTCTCAAACAGTCTCTACGTGCTTGGTTTAGAAAGTTTAGTCACATTGTTCCAAGTTTTGGACTAAAACAAAGTGAAGCAGATAATTCTGTTTTTTATTATACTGCTTCAGGTAAATGTGTTTATTTAATTGTATATGTGGATGATATAGTCATTATAGGGGATAATGTTGATAAAATTTCTCTGCTAAAGAAACATTTATGCAATCACTTCCAAACTAAGGATCTTGATTGTCTCAAATACTTTCTAGGGATTGAAGTGACTCAATTAAAAGAAGTCATCGTAGTCTCCTAAAGAAAATATGCTCTAGATATCCTGAAAGAAACAGGCATGATTGATTGTAGACTAGTAGACAGCCTTATGGATCCAAATATGAAATTAATGGCAGATCAGGATGAACCACTCTCTGATGATATAGAAGACTTGTTGGGAAACTCATTTATCTCACCATTACCAGACCTGACCTATCTTTTGCCGTTGGAGTTGTCAGTCAGTTTATGCAAAATCTGCGTACTGCTAATTGGAATGTTGTCGTTCACATCCTAAAATATCTTAAAAAGCTCCAGGACAAGGTCTGTTGTATGAAGATAAAGGGGTACCCAAATATCTGGGTATTATGATGCTGATTGGGCTGGATCTCCAATGGACAGACGCTCTACTACAGGATATTGTGTTCTCATTGGAGGCAATATTATTTCTTGGAAAAGCAAGAAACAAAATGTAGTGACCCGGTCTAGTGCTGAAGCTGAATATAGAGCAATGACATCTCTCACTTGTGAACTAGTGTGGGTGAAACAATTCCTTCAAGAACTGAAATTTTGTGAGATCCAACAAATGAAGATGTATTGTGACAATCAAACAGCTTTCCACATTGCCTCTAATCCGGTGTTCCATGAAAGGACCAAACATATAGAGCTTGATTGTCATTTTATTCGTGAAAAATTGTTGTCTAAAGAAATTTGTATTGAATTTGTCGGGTCCAATGATCAATTTGCAGATGTGTTGACAAAGTCTTTAAGAGGACCTCGAATTGAATTTATTTGTTTCAAGTTTGATACATACAATTTGTATGCTCCAGCTTGAGGGGGAGTGTTATAATTATTATTAGGTAGTGGTTAGTAGTTGGTGGTTGGTAGTTGTTGTTTTAAATGCTGTAATCATATATATATATATATATATATATGAGATCATAGAGTGGAGGTGTGCATCCCCACTGAATATAAATCTTCTTTTAACTCCCTTTACTCTCTTAACTTTTATTTTGCAGCACTTCTTTGCATCCTTCATATCCCGTGATGAAGCTTTCAAGATTATTAAGGATGGATGGTTGCGGCAGGGCAATGGAGCCATTGAACAGAAGGTACTTGCTATAGAAATTCTTTCTTGATACTAGTTGTTTATTATTTTTGTTCTCTTGGTAGTATATAAATAAATTTGTATGTTGGTACTGAGGTGAATTTTAGAAAAGAACAGCACCCTTCAACTATTAAAAAATCTGTTAATGGATAATGGATCAAGTAGCAGGTACTAGTTTGAGCATTGGTGAGGAAGCCAAGGAGAAGACCAACATTGGTCAACAGCAGGATCTTGTATGAAAAGTTTATTGTAGGATTTTATATGTTGAATACTACTAGTGCTTCTGTTCTTTTTTATTTTAAGTATCTTTTTGAGGTTTTCTATATCTGGATCAGCGTTTAGCTTATGATCTTTTTGTCACCAAGTATAGAATATAATTGTACTTCATCCAATAATTGCCAAACTAGAGTAGTAACACAGCTAATTAGATTTTGCAACTATTTTCATTTTTTTTCCTCTGGGGAACATGAGACTGTATTTCACAGACTGCATGCCCTAGCTATCATATTTTAAAAAATATTGTTCCACTAACTATTTTCAATATTCAATGTCTTTGGAAAATGGGATCATTTGGACATAGTAAGATCATCAAATGCAAATTAATTAGTAAAAATTGAATTACTTGTACTGTTACCCTCCTTTATTTATTTTACTGCAGGAATCAATGTCTGAGTCCGGCAGCCAAGACAATGGATTTGTAGCTGTTGAAAATGTCAGAAGTTCTGATACACCTGACAACAGATCACTTTCTGCTGATCTGTATGTCCATGACCATAATGGCTGTTGCTTTATAATAGATTATTTTGTGTGCAACTGACTTAGCCTTTACATATTTGCGTGAACCAGGATCAAAGATGCAGGGCTTTCATCCATTGTAGGGGATGACCCTGTATTGGTGGCGGATTCAGAGAAGCAGTGCAGTGCAAGTCAAGTTGCTGAACTTGAATTGAATAATGATGCCCCAAGTGTGAGTTGGAAGTGGAATGAGGAGGATATTGACGCCCCATCAAGTGAGTTTGGGATATATATATGTGTGTGTGTGTGTGTGTGTGTATTTTGGGTTCATGTTCAATAAGCAAATGTTTGTAGTCATTTAGAAATTGTTCTAATGGGAAATAACTCAATAATTTTGTTTTAAATTGTTCAATGAATGTCTGATAAAGTGGTTATGGGAAAAGTGTTTGAGTTAGATAAAAAGAACACTTACTCTGCTATTGCTTCAGGATTTTGGGTGATGATTAATTGGTTTTGTGGAAAGGGATTGGAATTTAGACTGTCACTCTGCTATTTATTGAATGAAAAATATCATATCATTTAGCTATTTAAAGAACAAAAGAGGGAAATAGTGCAAAATTATTTCTTTGGCATTGTAACTCCTTCAGTATAATTTTAAATCTAGTCATGCTAAAGCTCACTATTATGGATCATATCTGTAATAAACATCCCTTTTCTTTTCCTGTTTCTTTTTCTACCCTCAATATTTTCAATGTTTTTCATAATTTGTTCTTGAAGGTTCTGTTCCCTTATCAGTCTGTTATCAGTTTATAACCGTATATACATACACATACATATAACATAATATGAATTAATCTTGCTTCAACATATAATTTTCTTTAGGAAAAAATTCTCACAATATAAACCATTGAAATGAAAGTTACTCTCATCCCATGCTTATAAATTTTAAAGCATGCCTAGAACCCAATCTCAAAGTCTTAAAATTAGTTTTCAATAAATAAAACAAAATATAAGAAATTATTAACTGTTTGATTGTATAATTTTTACTTACATTTGGTGTGCAAGATTGACAATTACTTGTAGTACGATGGTCGGACTGAAGAAAATACTTATTCTAGATTTGTTGAGTGGTGTTTGTAAAGCCTTAAATATGCCACTTGACTTGTGCTTATAGGATGTTGTTAAAGAGACGAATGATGTTGATGACTTTTATGAAATGGTGAGAAGTGGCGTTGATATTAGTAAATGTGAACCATTCCCTTTTAAATAAGATCATTTTACAGTTTTGACTTAAATCATTTCTAGTGGAGGTCTTTTATTTTGGTGATATGAAATTAATCTATATTGTTAGAAAGTCATTGTTTTGGTATTTCCTTCTGCTATCTATTTGTCTCACTTTATTATTAGAGTGATCTGCTGTAGATTCATGATAATTAATTAACAAGTATTCCTTCTCTTCTTGTATAGTGATATAGTGATGAACTAACTACTTTCTATTGGTGCATGGGTTAATATAACGTGTGCATTGGGCCATCATTTGCAATTTACTGATTTCTGATTTTTGCGGTAATTCACATTACTGTTGTAATATGTAACCATACTGTAAAGTTATGAGAGTAATTGAGCAGAGATCAACTCAAGGGACTTGCATTATTAAAAAAAATGGGTTATATGTTGGGAGTTTGACCATGGAAGGAATACACTTGCTACAATGATTGATGCACAGCAATATCAAAGGAATTAAAACAAAATTACATGTGTTCTTCATTGATTTTTGAAAAGGTGTACAATAGGGTACCAAGGGAGGTTTGGTGGAAGGCTGCTAGAAAAAAAAATGTTTGTTTTCTTTGTTTGAGCAATCAAGGATATTTTAGGGGGCTCAATTGGTGTGAGAACATGATACAACTGGTATCCAGAATTAAAAGAATTAACACAGCAGTACACAGAGGTAAAGATAGAGAGAAGGTTAGAGAGAAAGAAAGCTGTTATTATGTCATGACTACTGAGAGTTCGAGAGTCTTAGTTATCTCCACAATGAGTTTTCTCAAAAAATAACTTTTTGAGTATCTACACTTCTATTCATAGCAATTAGTTCCTAACTACCTAACCGATCCTTTGACAACATAAATAATTGACTTGTGGGTTAGTTGAGTTTGTTATATCTTCTTGTTCCTTCTAAAGTACACTTTAGTAAAGGCCGTGTCTTTCTTAACAGAGCATATGGTGAGATCAATACAAATTTTCCTATGACTATCTTTTTCTTCAAGAGTCAACTTTGAGCCGCTAGGTTCATACTTGGGTCTTGGATGTGCTTACTGAGCACATCCAAGAGCTAGTGTGGCACTGCATACATTTACAAATGATACAAACCTACTTGAAGAGTTGGAAGAGAAGATAAATTAGCAGTTAGAGATGTGAAGACAAGATTTGGGAAGCAATGACTTTAGTTTACGGGAAAGTAAAATGAAGTATATGAAATAAGTTGAAGATAGTGCGCTTCAATTGTACACTAATGGTGAAAATTGGAGACCACACCACAAATAGTTTGTTTAGAGTATCTTGAATCCATCATAAAAAACAATGGAGAAATTGATAGAGGGAGATGTAAACCATAGGATAAGTCGGTTGGATGAAATAGTCTTTCTGGTGTTATTTGTGAAATAAAGGTTTCATGCTTCAAGGAAATTTTTATTGTATGACTATAAGATATTCAATGATGTATAGTGTTAATGTTCAACAACGGATAGACTCAATGTAATAGATGAGAATGCTGTCTTGGATGAGTGGACACAATATAACATGCAAACTCATAAATATCTATTATAAACATGACATACCCATCATCTTATTCTTTATATATAATAATGACATTTTAAGCATAAGATTCTCATCCTTTATAAAGCGTAAAAGTCCAATAATGCAGTCTTACCTTTATGATAGATCCTCATAAATTGTTGTAACCTCTTAACATACATTACTTTAACCTTTTCTTTTCTTGTCTGTCCTATTGGAAGATTAAGCTCATAATGTCAAGTAACGTGGTGCCATCTTTTGCTGTACATCCTTTGGTATCAAAGGTTTTTACAACCCTTTTTGTCCAATGGATGCCATATACCACTCTTTAGGGATTGAATATCCCTTCCTGTCTCTATGGTGAAAAGTCTTATTATCTTCTGTCATCTTTTGTGGATCAAAGGATGTACCACTCTTCATGGTCCAAAGAGACTTGCCACCCTTTTGGCTACCCTTCCCACTACTAAGGAGACCATTCACAACTCAAGCATTTGTATTATCAGTACTTTACATGTTTCACATTTACATACACTGGTATAATAATCTAAATCTTGAATACATACAATTAACATACAAAACATCACTTGACCCCTAACATGAAATATTCTTTTAATAAACATGACAAACAAATCAATGCATTCAATTATTGCCTCAAGCACATCAAATTATTATGTGGAAATTGGAACATATGTCCAGGGATGGATACAAACTGCAGTATTCAAATAGCAGAGCTGGTTTTAGTGGGGCTGTTGTTCCACAATGGTGAAGCTGTGACGGATTTTGGATACCTTTTTCAAAGCTTTATTCATGTAATATGCACGCTCTTTCATCCTTTTTGACATAAACTACCAACACCTTGTGCTTTCAGACATTGTTTCCTGCTAAAGTGCGGACATATCACTTTTTTCTCTGTTTTTCTATACTGCTTGGTCAATTATTTTCACAGCCTCTATTCAACTACTCCTTCGGTTTTTGCAAAAATTAAAGAAAAATCTTTGCCCTTCCTCTACCTATTCTGTTACTCATTCTTCTGTTTATTTTTAATTTTTTGGGCCCAACTCCCAAGTATGTATTCTGTTCTACCACTTAGCCCCTATATTCCTTGTGTTCTGTTATGTTTTGAGATACTTCATTGGTCCTCCCTAAAGAAGCTGGAGTATTAAGAATGTGTCTTTGATGTTATTGGTTTGTGTGTTTTCTGATTACTAATTATAGACATATATTTTTCTTTTTGTATTTTTTGTTTTATATTTGCGAATTTATATTTATGTAATATAAATTATTTAACTTTTTTGGGAATATCTGTCTTCCTGCTATTACCTTTTTTGGGATTGGCCGTTATGTGCCACAATCAGCATTTGATAACTATGGTATGCATGTGAAAAGAAGAAATACTTCATGCGTAAATGTCTTCCTTGTTTATCTTGTAGCATACTGCTACTTGTTATCTTATGTCTACATAATCTGATGGATTTGAACTTATTATCTATTATGCAGTCCCTGAAGAATTTACATGTGTTGCAGAAGCAGTGTTTCCGGTATAATCTTACTTAAAAATAACTAGATCTATTTTTTACTTTTAAGTTTTCCCTTGTTAATTTGCTAAATCTTAATTTTACAATTTAGATTTTTTTTCAAAGTTTAGGTTTTACACATTGCAGATAAAGGTTGAAGACTTCTTTAGGTACTTTTTCTCAGATGATGCTGTAAATTTTGTTGAGTCTTTTCACAAAAAATGTGGTGATAAAGGTAACCTGCATGAAACTTCTAAACCTATGCATTTCAATTGACATTTTTCATTTTCTAGTATTCTTTACTGTCCTTGTTGTCATTTAATATTTTTTTAGGGAAGGAATAGAATTAACTGATGTCTTTATCCAAACATTATTGTTTTGATGAGTTTTTTTATCTTTTTATTTTTTTACTTTTTATTTTTTGCTTTCAGACTTTAAGTGTGGTTCGTGGCATCTTCAGGATAAATTTGGGTATGCACGTGAACTGTCATTTCAACATCCAATAAAAATTTATCTTGGTATGTTTCTGCTGCTTTTATTTTGATGTACATTGTACAATTTCTTGTTCTGACTTAGACTTTTTTACTTTACAAGTTATTTTTTTCGCCAATGTTTTTAGAGAATTCATTGAAGTTCTGACGAAAAAGGTCAAATAAGTTTAGCCCACTGTATTTATTGGTTGTTGATTATTCAATAGTCATGTAAACTAAATTACATTGACATACATGTTCACGAGTTATGGAACTTTTGAATTTATAGGAATAAGTTTAAGCATGACATCTAAATTTTGCAACCTATTTATTAACCGTGTGAATATTAGAAGCTAAAACTAATATGTCTACAAGCTCACATTTTTATAAGTTGGTGCGAAAGTGGGTCTGATGAAAGTTAATGGAACACAGATCAGTGTTCTGTTTCACTAATGGAAGAACATTGAAATTAAATATGTAGGGCTAGCTAGTCTATTAAAATGATAGGCCATACTCCTACTTCATATTTTGGATATTGAAAACTTCAACCTCTGATATGCTCCAATGAATTTTCAAAACTTTAAGCTAGCGACCTATTTGCCTGTGGACATGATCGTGTTTCTTTTTCAGGAGCAAAATTTGGTGGCTGCCATGAGGTCCAGAAATTTCGTGTTTATAAGAACAGGTTGTCAATGACCTTTTATCTCAATCTGTGTGTGTTTTACATGAATTTTTATTCTCTCTGAAAGCAATCTTTTAAGCTAAAGATTTCAGGGAGCTTCTAACGAAAAGGAAACTACATAGAGGATGATTATAGGGATGAATGTCCGTATAGCTACTTAAGGGTGTTGTGGGGTTGGTTGGATAACCAAATGAAATGTAGCAATGGCATATTGTCCTGTTGTATTGGCAGGCTTTAAGTGGGTGAAGCCGTGAGAATATGACAACAATAAATGGTGTAGTGAGATAGGTGGGAGGAAAATGTCTATTGTGCTGTTTTGTTTTGCCCGAGATAAAGCTGTTGTGGCGCCAGAGTTTACACGGTTGATAGAAATGGATTTTTTTGGGTCCTGTAAGTTGCTTGCTTTTTAAGAACTCTTGTGGGTGGGTGTATACTGGAGAGGAGGGATATTTTTATTCAATTAAACAATTTAATTGTTTCAAACCAAGCATTGAAAGTTTAGAACGGTGTAAACAACATACAAGTAGAAACTTGTTGGTGGCTTGTTTACTTTGTTTTTATTTCTCTAATCTCGGATGAGAAAAACTGGGTAGGACTTGGCAGTGTTGATACTTCTATTATTTATGTTGAAGATTAAAAACGGCTGCTTTTGCTTCTATTGTGCTTTTTATTATTCCCTTTATCTATTTTCATGTGTTCTTTATGTGTATTATTTATTCTACTAATTAGTTTCTGCATTGACTACTTGACATGAAATATAGTGTTCTTGATGTGTTATCTTGACATTTGTTACCTCATCCAGTCATTTGGTTATCGAGACATCGCAAGAAGTCAGTGATGTACCTTATGCAGATTATTTCCGTGTCGAGGTACAAATTTTCTTGACACATGAAATATTTATGCACATGTGCTTTTAAGTAATTTTAATTTGACAGTATACATTTTTAATTAAGATATTTCTTGGGTTACATCGTTCAAAAGAAAAATAGTTTATTAGAGGGGGAAATTTATAGAGATTAAGGATGAAGTATTCTCTTCAACAGAGAAACAAAAGAAAAAGAGTAGGAGTGAATAATATCATCAACACAAAAAGTCTCTCAATCATGAACCAAATATGTCTCAAGGTTAATTTAGGAGAAGACACCTAAATGGTTTTGTGTTGCACTGGCCCGCCTGCTTTGTTCTGAAATTACTTTTTTACTATAAATATTGTGGGTAGAGGTAGAAAGTCTGAAACTCTAGTCCACTTGGTTTAGGGGTTCTAATACCAAGTCATTGATCCACTATATTAAGCCATTAGGTTAGAACATATGAATGATTTTTTTATTATATCTGTCCAATCCCCTTTCATGTTTTTTTTTTTTTATATTATTATCTAATTGATATTCCCACCTGGGCTTATATATACTATCCCAGAATGGCCAGTATTTTGTTTTACAACAATGATTGGTGATATCATCCGTTTCCCAAATATCCAATATTTTGTTTTTACTATAACTAAAAAGAGTAAGTGATATTTTTGTTGAAATTTACACAAAGGTCCAGCATTTCCGCCTACTCCCTAATTTTTAAGAATTTTCTTTAGCAATTTAAAAAACAGTTTACTTTCACTTATAGTATTAATATTTACAAATTTTTATGCCAGATTTTCTCTATGTATATTACATCTTTCTAATGACATTTGTACGAGAGATTCCCAAGAAAAGTCATGGACACATTTATCACTCAACAACAAATATAATGATAAGAGGAAGAATCCTTAATAATACCGGCACTTCCGTTCAAATCAAATGCTCTAGAAAATAGCTTCGATAGTCAGTTGTTATAAAAACGAAGCATTACTCACAACCTTCTTAAATTGATCCACAAAAAGTTGTCCTAATCCTAATTTATTGAACACAACAAAAAAAGTCTTTTACCAATAGGTGGGGTGATAGTGCCCCTGACTATATTACACGCCCAATTGGATGGGATGACTATATTCATTAACATAATATATTTTATGAGATTTGCTGTCATTTAGTGAGTGGGTTTGTTAGCCCTCTATATTTTTCTTTCTATTATTCCTTTTGTAAGAATGCAGTGTGCCACAACACTATAAAATCTATCAATATGCAAGGAATAAAATCTGAGAAGTTATTTCAATATCACATTCTTCCTTTTCTGTTTTATGAATGTAGAATCTGACCTCGAATTCAGGTTATTTCCTTTTCCCCTCTATATTTTCTTTCTGTTATTCCTTTTGTAAGAATGCACTGTGCCACAACACTATAAAATCTATCAATATGCAAGGAATAAAATATGAGAAGTTATTTCAATATAACAATCTTCCTTTTCTGTTTTCTGAATGTAGAATCTGACCTCGAATTCAGGTTATTTCCTTTTCCCATAACAACTATCCCCCATCATTTTGGTGCTTTCATGGCTGACACACATGCTCAAACTTAAGCACAGGCCATTGTTCACCTGGAAGAAGCTATCACATGTTTATCTAGTTCACACAATCCTAGTTGACAACCAGAGCTCCCTCCATTCCAAATTTGACGACATGCTCCAATGACTCTCTCTCTCTTAGAACCCAACCACTAGGGTCTTGATTTCAGTCCCACCTCTCCTCCTCCAAGAGTTTTTAACCCTCACATGAAGCTTGAGGTCCTGCATTTCACTAGCTTCGACGCAATGGAATATCTGCCAATTTTTTTTATAACCATCAGACTACAGATAATGAACGTCTTCAAATCGCATCCTTCTACATGGAGGGTCCAACCCTTGCTTGGTTTCAATGGATGTTCAATAACAGACAAATCTCATCTTGGCTCAGCTTTCTCCATGCCTTAGAGGTAGGATTTTCCCTTCTTATTACGATGACCCCTGTGGTACATTGTTTAAATTTTCTCGGACTGGGTCAATCAATTAGTACTTGTTTGAGTTTGAAAACCTTTCCAACCACTTGTTTGAGTTTGAAAACCTTTCCAACCACATTGTTGGCTTGCCTCTTCCTTTTCTCAGTTGTTTAATCTTCGGCCTTTCTCTGGGCATTTGTCCAGAGTTTGAGGCATTTCAACCTTTGTCATTTACTCAGGCAACTGCATTGGTCAAGCTTTAGAAGGATAAGCTTAACAATAATAAGCGCTCGATATGCGCAACCATCCCCGTTGTTGACTCTTCCACCCTTGCCTCCATTGTCACTATCCTCCTTACCGTCATTTTTATCAACATCGTCTACCCCTTTAGTCAAACGCTTAACTTTAGCAGAGTTAGAGTTCCACCATGAGAAAGACTTATGCTACCATTGTGATGAGCGTTGGAATCACAACCATAGTTTTAAGTCCCGCTTTTTTCTTCTTGTTGCCTATGAGGATGATATTCACTCACTTCAGGCCCCACTTCCTTCCCTCAATCCTACTCTATCACTAGATGCTAGTACTTCCTTAACCCAAATTATCCTTAATGCTATGTTTGGCCACATAACACCCTAAAGCCTTCGGCTTTTGAGTACTATCAAAGATCTCATGTCTTAGTTCTCATTGATGGGAGAGTACCCATAATTTTATTCAAGCTTCTGTGGTTCATTTCCTTCACCTACCGATTGAACCCACCTCACCCTTGTGTGTTTTGGTAGGCAATGGCCAAGAGATTCAATGTAACCAAATTTGTAAGGCAACTAAACTTGTTATTTGAGGTTACAATTTTGTTGTAGACCTTTTGGTGATGCCTCTTGCGAGTGCATATCTCATTTTCGGGGTGCATTGGCTAAAAATTGTTGGCTCCAACTCATACCCTTCATTGTCTTAACCAATCTGGCCTAACCAAGCTTTCTCTTCATCTAGTCAAATGACTCATCTACTTTTCATGATACTGCCTATTACGTACCATATATAAATCCTTCCAGACACCACATCTGAGATCCCTAATTCGCTCCAATCATTATTGGATCGCTACATGTCACTCTCCCAACCTCGTACTAGTCTCCCCTCTTCCCACCCCACAGATCACATCATACACCTTCAACCTAACAGAGTGCTCTTGTGAATGTCAGGCCTTACAGATCGTCACAAGAATCGAATAATTCTTGATAAGATCAAGTGATGCAAGGAAGAATCCTAGCAGAGCAACAACTCACAAAGTAATATGAATATTACGTACGTTCATTCTAAATTTCCAAATGTTTAATACAACTTAAGTTTATGAGTTTGTCTCATTGTAGGAAATAAAGATAAATTAAAATCCTAATATTCCAAGCAAAGTTAAGTTGCTCAGATGGTTCAATGAAGACATTATAAGTTTTGGGTCTTGGGTTCAAATCCCCACTGTAGCAAATAAAATAATAATAATAATAAAAATTAAATCTTTTAGTTGGGCCTCCTAGCTCTCCAAACATTCTATGCATGTGATAGGTCTAGACTCCTCCATGTTTGAATCTTTTAATAGTTGGGCCTTTAGCAAATTGGTCACTTTGTATTGCAATGCCTCTTGTGTTTTTCTGAGCCTGCCTCTTGTCATAGGTCCACCTAAGTCTTGGATTGGATCTTGGTCTTGATCCTTCTCGTTATGGGCTTGGGCCTTTATGTCCACATCATTCCCTCCTTCTTGGGCAGCATTTGTCCTCAAATCTATGAATTCATCTCCTGCATCAAAAGGAGTCAAGCCAGCAACATTAAAAGAAGAACTTACATTATACTCTTCTGGTAAATCAATCTTATAAGCATTATCATTGATCTTCTCTAAGAATCACTCTTCCCAAGGGAGGCAACACACAAAGGATGTGACAGTCCTTTGATACAGCCAAGGGTTCTTGAATCACTCAAGAATTTAGGAGAATCACTCTCACTAAGATAAAAGAGATAAACTCTAATATTTCTGAATAAAATTTCACTTGTTATTTCTTGATAAAAATGGTTCAATTGATATAAAAGCGTTGCCATCAGAATTACAAAAGACTCAATAAAAGAAAATAAATACTAATAATAACCCATTAATCTAAGAATTGAAAACTATTTAATAGAAACAAATAAAGACTAATAATGATCTATTAACCTAGGAATTGAAACTACTTAATGACTGATTGTATCTGAAACTGTGGCAACTAAAAGTCAATCAGCTATGCACCCCTTAGTCTCCCAAAGGCTGATGACTAAATTTTCAATTGGGCCCTTATTATAACTTAAAACAAAATCAAACTAAAGCCCATTAATTGATTAATTCAAAACATAATTTGGTCAACCAACAATATTTGTTGAAGAGCTTCCTTTATTTCTCTTGCTCTAGCCCTTATCATAGGTCATGTTCACATCATTATCACCTGCTTTCAGCTAAAGAGTAGGAAGAAAACAAATTGATGTCCTGTGGTAATATCAACCAAACTATGTTTTTGCTAATTAACCTTTAGCTTTAGGCGCCACAAATTAAATTACATTGTGTTAGAAATGATGTAAGGTGGTGACTTGGGACTATACTGGATTACCTGTACTGCTGCTTAATTGCGATCTAGATTACCAAGCTTTATGAGTCTTTTTCACCCATGAACAGAGAAGCTGTGTTTACAACTAAAAGCTCTGATCACCTCACAGCAGCAATCAGTAGAACGACTTTAAAATTACCTAAAAAAAACATTCTTATTTGCTCAGTAATATGCTAAAATGAATTGGAGATTACTAGAGGGCTATATTATGTCATTTTAAATATAGTGGTCACTTTAGGAATTAGGTTAGGAACATTTAGACGATTTTCCATATTTTGGATGTCTAACTGAATGAATGAATTTGATTAATGTTTGCAATTACTATGCCACTATAACCTCTGGTATTGTATCTAATGTTGGATTTTATACTCTTGACAGGGTAGTACCCCAACATGCATTTTATGTTTTTACTCCACTAGTTAAACAATCACTAGATGAATTGTTTGTTTCAATTTTGAGTAAACCAATCTATGCAGTTAAAAGACTACTATCTCATTACCAAAGTTTGGGACACAATTAGGTTGTTATTCTTGATCTTTATTATATTTATGAAACAGTCTTCTTCTAGTTCTCTGTTTAGTAATTTCAGTATTAATTATGATTTTCAATGAATTAATAGTTTTTACTTATGCATAGTTTCTTTGTGAATTACCAGGGGCTGTGGAATGTAGAGAGAGACAAGGATGAATCAAAAGAATGCTGCATTATGCGTGTATATGTGAATGTTGCATTTTCTAAAAGAACTATTTGGAAAGGTGTGGCTGTTATTGTATATCCTTGAAGAACATTTTCCTTAATTTCTATCAATGTATTTTATTTTACTTAGAAGACGTTGACTCATACCTTTTGGACTTTTATATCATGGTAAATTGCTCAGTTTTGTACTTTGTGCATTTTTATTATTTCTATGTTGGTTGTGTTATGTGTAGTCGCTTATTGTCTTCAATTTATACCATGAACACCTGTATAAGAGATCATATGTTTTAAGAACATTTTTCCTGGAATCAATTAGTGTGATGTTTAAGCAAGCAAACCATAATCAAGCTGAGGATGTAGCAGCTGTGTTACCCTGATGCTGTTGCAGTATGGTTCCAGAATCAAAACTGCTATGCTTAGCCATTTATGATGGTGAGGCTGTTTTCTGATCACCAGCAATCAAACCTGAAATCAGTCCCTATTTAATCACACCTGGCTTTAGCATTCAATTATCCACAAAACTTCGCTATTCTTAACGAAGTTAGTTCCATCTTGATTAAATATATCATCTTTGTTTTCTGTTTTACATGTGAATATTTTTAATATTGACAATTCCATTCCTTGTCTTATGAATCTCAGAAGATTGCTTGATTCAGATTCTCTTTCTCCCCCTTGCACACTGTTTGAGTTGCATTAATAACTACTCTATTTTTGTTATGCTTATTTTAATCTTCTAATTTATTCTATATCATAACCACAGCTAAATCAAAGGAAATTGTTGAATATAAATCATCTGTCTACCCCTACACATAGTTTGAATTGCATTGATATGCGTTTTTCTATTTTGTCATTCTCATGAACTTTCTTTGATTCCATGTGGGTGAACAATCACAGGCAAAATAGTACAATCAACAATTGATGAATGTCGAGATGCTTATGCTACATGGATGAACATGGTATTCTTGTGTTTCTGCTGTTCTTTTATACGCATTTTGTTTTGTTGCTGGTCCAAGCCTTTTTTTTTTAATGTCCATTTGAGAATGTATGATATTTCAGGCACATGAAACGTTGAAGGAGAAGAACCTTGAAAAACAAGGTTTGGTTTTTAAAATTTCAATTTTCTAAAAATTTGAAGTTCCTTGTGGGTTCCATACAACTGAATGTCCAGTGGAATGTCCTATTTTTTCATAATTATGAAAGTGGTTCTTCTGTTGCCGTAGGTCAAAACGGTGAAATGAATTTAGATAGAGAAGTGAAGACTGGAGAATCTTCAGAAGGGTCACAGGAGCAAAGTAACCTTAAGCTACCTACATCCAATGCCTCTGATGCTACTACAACCCACAATGTTTGCGCTCATTTGCAGGGAAATTTCACAGAACCATTATCTGTTCCATTGTTCAAACAGTTTATGACAAAGTTCAGATCATCCTTGAAAAGTCTAAACAATCTTTCTCTGATCCTTGTTACTATTATTGCTCTGATTTTCTTCATTCAGGTGTGTATTTTAAATCTGAAATTTAGATACATTTATGTTTTTTCTTTTTTTGTTAATAAAGTTGTCAGAATTCTTGGACTTGCAGTACTTGTGTGTTTTCTTCGAAACTGAAAGTGTTCATAGAGAAATATTGTAGTTACGGGCATCAAATTGCTTAAGTTAGCTTTCTGTCACTTCAGTTGTGTGACTGCACAACCAACTTGTTCCAGCCTTATATTTGCAGATAAGAAAACCAAATTTCAAGAATAAAAAATTTGTATTTCAGCTGTTGAGTAACAATGATTTAATGCTCATGGTTTCTCTGGGAGCATCTTTGTTGGGCTTTAAATGCTTGGCTATCAGTTATAATTTTTTATTTTTTATTTTTTTAATTTCAATCTTGGAACGTTTTACTAATGATAACCGTTTATTCTTTGCAGCAGTTTAGCATACTTGTGCTATTGGCAAGACCTCAACACATACATATGAACACTCCTGTTGACTTCATGAATAGGATGAACAATGAGATGACTAGAAATCCTTCAGATATAGCGTGGATGGAGAAAAGAATTCATCACCTTAAAGATGAGATGTACATGGTTGAGAGTAGGCTTGAAAGGTTGCATTATGAACATTCACTTTTGAAAAAACAACTAAAGGACCTAGAACAACACAACTAGCTACCAAATTTCATTGTTGAATCATATGTATCACTATATCTAAAATATCTTGTTGTATATACGTGTGATATATGGATGTGATATTTAATTCTGTAAATTCATTCTTCCTCGTTGTAAATGAGGACGTTGTGTACTACTTACTACCCAAAGTTAAAGAAAAGAAGAATTTGTAATTTATTGGTTTTTGGCCAGCATACGAAAATAAGATTAATGGGTCACTACTAAATTGAGGTTAAATTGCACTTTCTTTTTCTATGTTAATTTGATTGTCATTTTTGGTTTCCTTTATACTTTTCAGTTGTTAGACTCTAGTCTTTTGCTTAAATTTATTTGAAGGGTATAGATTAGTGAAGAAAAATGCATAAAGTATTTAACTACAAATAAACAAGGAAAGTTAACTTAAATTTTCTTTGTTAAATTATATTAATTAATGTTGTATCATATGATCTTAATATATCGTAATTATTGAAGAGGAATGCACTTAAATGTAATAGAATTATGCTTGGTACTTGGCCAGAATAAAGAAAGGCTTGTTGGATAAATTATTTATGTATTGTCAATGTCATTTGTTTATACTTTTAATTAATAAAATTCATCATTAATATGACTTGTAAGATTATTATTAATAATTAATAAATTTATTATATATTGTGATTGGATATTAATGAAAAACTATTTTGCATAAGTAATGTATTTATTGTAAATGGATTTAGTAACTTTGGATAATGAATTTATATTAGGATCGCAAAATGGGATTAACCCGTTTTCGTCTTCCAAAATTAAGCCAGATTGGGTTGACTCACCATAATTAAAAAAAATTATTTTATTTAAATCAAAATTTTCAATAAATTTAATAATAAGATTACCATTTCTTTATTAAGAATTTAACATATATATTTCAAGTTAATAATATAAATCAATATATTATTTTAGAAAATTATAATTTAGAATAATAATAAATAATAACAAATATATAAATAAAGTCAAAACTTGTAAAATTTATATTTTTTATATTAAAAAATTCAAATACCTGTCTTTTTTATTTGATAAAATTTTACATTATTCTTCATTTGAGTAATTCTTACACCTTTAATTCAAGTCATAAAGATAAACACAATGAGTGCTTAGGATCAACGAGGAGGAGATGATGAACATCAAGGAGAAGAGAGAAGTTTGTGTTTGAATGAGAAGAATATTTTCTATAATGAATGAGAGTGAGATTTTTTTAATTTTTTTATAATTTTATATATTATCTTTATGATTAACTATATTATGATAAAAAAATTAATTTATTATTAATTATGCGGACTGTGGGTTGGCCCGCCCCGTCCCGCAGACTAGCCCGATGTGTTGGTGGGTTTGATGGGACACGCCAAAATGGGATGATGGGCTAAAATAAAAACACCAACCCATCCTACCTTATTACAACGAGCTGGTGAGCCGATCTCGCTGAGCCGACTGTTGAGTCTAACTCGTTTTGTCATCCATAATGAACATATAAAATTTAGTAGATTAAAATATCGTTTTAATTTAAGTTATGCACCGTATCCTAAAATAATTATTTACATCCAGTCCTTTCATACAATTTTTTTTATCGATAATGGTTTTTTATTTACAAATTCGAATAAAAAATTATAAAAAAAATTAATTTCATTTAAACTCATATAAGTCACATAAGTTTAATATTTATACATTTATTACTATATTTTTCAAAATATTTTCATATAAAAATAAAAATATAAGAAATTTATTCATATAATTATATAAAAAATAAAAAATTAATTGAATCAAAATATTTAAATAAAATAAAAATAAACAATGAATCCATTTATACTTATGGTAAAATTATAATAGTTAAAGATATTAATATAACAAAAAATTGTACTTTTATATTATTATTATTATTATTATTTGGTTTTACATGTTGAATTCGTCCACACGAACAATAATAAATAAATAATTAAATTTTTTTATTTAACTTTAGTAAAATTTAACTTGTTCAACTACATTATTTAAAAACATTCCTTTTGCTTATTCAGTCGTTAGTTAACAAATCACTATATTAAATCAGTAGCGAAAAATGTCCTTATTTCTCGAAAACAATCAACAATGTATATTGTGGCCTATATGCACCCTTTTGTTAAAACTAAAACCAATTTTAGAAAATAGAAATCCAAAGTCATCATGTGTTTTTCTGTTTCGAAACACTTTTGGAAGATTAATCTACACTAATTTCTACATATAACCTAGGGATGACAGAACGGGCCAGCCGCTCCGTTTTGGCCCGCCCCGCCTTTGGTCCGTCAAAAGTGGGGCGGGCGGGTTGGCTCGATATAGTCATGACGGACTGTAGACCTTGGCCCACCATAATTAAAAAAAAAAATTATTTTTTAAATAATTTTTTTTAATAAATTTAATAATAAGATTATTATTTGTTTGTCAATAATTTAATATATATATATATATATATATATATTATTTCAATTTAATAATATAAATCAATATATTATTTTAAGAAATTATAATTTAGAAAAATAATAAAATTTACATAATAATAAATAATAACAAATATATATATATATATATATATATATATATAATGTTAAAACTTATAAAATTATATTTTTTATATTGAAAAATTCAAATTCCTATATCTTTTTTATTTGATAAAACTTCACATTATTCTTAGTTGAGTAATTCTTACACCTTTAATTCAAGTCATAAGAATAAAAACAATCGAGTGTTTAAGATGAACAAGAACGTAAGAGAAGGTTGTGTTTCGATAAGGAAAATATTTTATGTGAGAGTGAAACTTTTTTAATTCTCTTTTTAAAATTTTTAACTTTATATATTATCTTTATAATTAATTTTTATTACAATAAAAAATTATTTTTTTATTAATTAGACGGGCCGCAGGCTGGCCCACCCCGTCCCGCGGGTTGGCTCGGCGGGTCAGCGGGCTTGGCGGGGCGGGCTAAAGCGGGCTGGTGGGCTGAAAACACCAACCCGCCGGGCCTGACCCATTTTGCCATCCCTAATATAACCACCCAAAACCCTAATAACTTCCTAAAAATGTCATTTGGAGAATTAAACACTAATGTTGTGACGCTGAAATATTCAGGCAGGGAAAAAAAGAAGCTACATAACCACCCGGTTAAGTAGGAGCACTCATATTTGTTTAAGATTTATTATTTTTCTTCCTAATAGTTTTTGAAATTTTGGTCAACTGTGAACATTAATTAACTGACTCATTGTTACTCACAACAATTAACGGTATTAAAAAACATGTTAAGATTATGATTAGAACATATTAAAACAAAAAATTAAGAATGAGAGAGATACTAAACCTTTTATATATTAGAATTCAGTGAATATTATGATGATGAATCATGAAGTTCAGGAATCTCTACTACGGATTTGTGAGTCTAATACAGCAGCCTCCTATGTATATGAGTGATAACGTGAACTTACTTGATAAGGCAAACAAACCCACCCTATATGTTCTTCCATTATTATGCACCTTATAATAATATTAGCATATTACTCTTTCATAATTATCACAATTACTACCATATATATCTTAATCTATATATTGCTTAATACAACAAATTATGCGTATTAATAATTGATTATAACATACCTATAAGTACATATATCAATATATTGTGTAATTAATAGATAATAAAACATTATTTTGTTACTCTCTAATTCTCACTTGGAGATGCCTAATGAGGAAAAAAATCATGATTAGGAGGAAAATTTTGACAAAAAAAATGAGTTTCAATGTAAACAATTTTGTATCTCTCCCTCATGCATGTATGATCGTGCAAGTCTTTACGGTCAACGTCGAATTAATTTGTTAAATTTCGTTACTATTGCACTGAATAGCAGTTCTATATATATTAACACAAATATAATAAAATTCAAGATTTATCAAATTGGCAATAAAGGAAAATATAGCAACCCTTTCAAATTTTCCTTGATGTTCTTAGAATTTTGATAACTATTCCTATATAAACACTATGTGTACTAAGATTACACGTTTTCCTCATAGAAATTAATTTCTCCTCCTGCCTTACTATATATATACATTCTCAATGATAATAAAATCCATTATTATCAATGTTTTCTTGACTCCACTTCTTCTTTATATCATCGATAAACCTCTTATACTACAACAATGAAGCTTACCCCGATGAAACCTCTATATCCTTCTCATACTCTAGTATCTACTTCAACCACAATCATCAACGTAAAAAAACTTCAGAGCATAACCATGATTAACCAACCATCGAAACCACACAAAATAAAAAAGCCACGTAAAATTGAGAAAACCATAAATAACTTAGAAAATAGTAATTATCGTCGTCATCATTGTTATCATGTTGGAGATCAAACAAAGTTGGAAGATGGATGGAGTATCAAACCATAAATCTAGCTGCATTGGCTATGTGGCAATGTGTGAGAACAAGGAAGAGATCAAAAGACTAGGTGGTAAAATTGTTATTGCATATACAGGAACATCCACATGTAGTGACGGATCTTCTTAGGAGCTGAAAGAGGTCATGACCTCCCTAAAGTTTTGTAATTCCCATGTAATTTATGATTTTGTGTTTTCAAACTTAATGAACATTTAATATATTTACTTGTATATTTACAATTTTATCCTCTCAGTCCCTCCTTCGTTTTGTAACTCTCATATAATTTATGATTTTGTCCCCCTCAAACTTAATGATCATTTAATATATTTAAGTATATATTTACAATTTTATCCTTTCATCTTCTTTCTTCCTTTTATATTTATTTATTATTTATTAATGATATATTATTTAGCCCCTCAAGATCAATGGTCAAGATCCGTCACTGGCCACATGCTTGGAATGGCTTGAGAATTTGTGTGCCACTCTCACCCACCTCCGAGTACCATGCAAAATATAGAGAAACTTTCCCAAGGATCAAACCACACCCCCAATGGTTGAAAATGGGTTCTTGAGTCTCTA